TTACTCTTCACATAAATTTGCAGCAACAAAAACAGTATACTACTCTGCTGTTAATTATATAGAAAACCAGAAAACACCACCACATTTATTGCAGTTATCGCTTGGCTTCGTTTCTCTCTATTATTCCTTTATATTCGCACTAATACCCACCGGCGACCCCGTCGACCGCATTTAATTTGGATATTGTACAGTCATGTCTGGATGTCAATCTACCCGTCTCCCAATTTCACTTACGAGCATCACTTCTTTCAACTTTTTATCACATTCACTTCAAAAATCGGTTATTACAGATAGGATGCTCGAATAGATTGCCAATTAGGTTAGCTTAAGCCGACGAGTGCTTGTTGATTTTTAAAAAAAACTTATATATAGCAATATATGTGTTTCCCATATTGTGAAGGTAGAATGGTACGCTCACGTAACATGTTACGTGTGCAGTACCGCTATCATTATTGTCAAATTTATTTTTTGAATTTTGACAAATGATAAAAATGCTTATTTAAAGCAAGCAAACCGTTCTATCCGAATTAGAAACTTTAAAAAATACCCTATGGTTGCTCTAAAAAAATTATTTAAGCAATAAGTATTATAAAGTTCGCCCTAAAGTATACTCAATTCTCTTCTCCCTTTGTTGTTGTTGCATATATATAAAATAAAGTACAAAACTCTCCCTCTACTAGAAATATAACAAGCACTTTACATTTTGCTTTATTTCTAAGTACTTGCTGGGTTCAAGTGGAGTTTCGTGGTGTACTCATTGTTATTGAAAAGAAGTAGTTTTTACTGTTAGCAAAGGGAACAAAAGTATGTTACATTAATACTTAAGTTGTATTGAAAGTTTTATAGTACGGACAGATAGTCAACTAATAGATAAAATAGTCTTGTTTAATGTTATGCTCATCTCTCTTGCCACTTTTCAAGCTTTACTTTTCCCAGTCCATGTAAATAAGTCATTGTGAAAAACCCGTCCTAAGAACCAATTAAGGCGGCTTAGAGCAATTGGTCGTTTATAAGAGAACGCGTATGAACATTGGCTTAATTAAAGAATTTCTGCGTAATTCGTCCACCATGCTTCTTTTTTTTTGGGGTTGCTAAGTTTAAGTGGCCTAAGCCAATAAAGTAGCTTTATTCGTCTACTTACAATTATTTTTAAATTTCCTTCGCATCATTTATCGATACAGGTGAAAAACTGAAGAGAGAGAAATGATTGTTTATTTATTAAGCAAATTTACTAATTCTGGTTGTCTGGACTTTGTCGTCAGTATGTCACAACTTGCGCATGCTTTATTTAAACGCTAACATCTGAATAGATACTTCACCTTGAAGGCCAATGAGGAATCACTTTATAACTATCGAAATCCTTAGTCTCAAAGTTCCGTATTATTCCATATATATTAAAACACTTTCTACTTACACAGTGAAGTCGAAAAAATATATCAAAAGTTTAGTTTAAGTTAACAATATACAAATGCATTCTATTCATCTTGCAATCTTAGCCTATGTTTAGTTAGAAAAGCTACATCGAATATGGCTTCCTGCTCAAGCAATTGTTTAACTTCATATTTCATGGATAACTCATAGGCATATAATATACTCGTATCATAAAGCATCATTTTACAATGAGCTAATGCTAACGTACAATTGCGAACACGGGCGATGACTTCTCGGTCAGCTTTTGGTACAACTTCGGTAAGATTCTGAGAAAAACCACCATCCCCACCATCCACATCAGTATTAACTGTGGGCGCAATCCAAATGAAACCATTGTTGCCAAGGATAATACTTGCTCCGCAGGGTAGACTGTGAAAATGAGTTTTACGCCTTTTTACCAAAGAGGGAAACACCTTTACCAGAACTCCTTGAGAAAGTTTGCCGTATCTTAGCGATCTTGTATATAGAGACAATGTACCTTCTTCGTAAATATTTTGTACTTCGGCTGAAATAAGATCTCCTTCCTGCAGATATTTACGCATGGTCTGCTCATCTTCTGACACTCGTCTTCTCAGCTCGCCACCCGGCAAGTTAACAGAGGATAGTAATAAAATTGAATCTAATCTTGAGTTAGTGTCGACTTTCCAGCGTTTTTGCTGTACATCAATAATACGTGCAACAACTACGTCGCCTATTTCGCCGACGTAACGACTTTTCAGAGGTTTAATAGAAATTAATTTATTAACCTTTTCAATAACACCGGCCACCGAGGCTTTAATGTCTTCTCCTTCCCCGTAAGTTCCATGACCTTTCATAAAGCCGCCTTCAGCAATAACTACTTCACCTGGCGTATATAAACGTGGAGCGTTCGCTTGATTTTGAGCTAACAAACCCATATCAACACGATCTCGAGCCAAACGTATTTTAATATTCGCCGTCATTTTTAATTTCTTCTTTTTTCTATATTTTCAGTGCTTATAATTAATTAAAAAAACATTTTTACATACACTACGGAGGCATTGCCATATTCAATTTTTTGATTAACAAATGTTTCCAATTACGAAGAAATTTATTACTAGACGATCTAGAATCGTCTAAATCGTCGAATGCGTTCTAAAGAGCGCAAAATTTTTACATTAATTTTGAAAAAGTTTTTTCGATATCGATTAACTTTGTTCACTATTTGATAATAAGTATTGCCATTCGTATAATATTTATTGCCATCAAACAGCTGTGTTGCATTCGTACATATTGCTTTCGTTGAATGCGTCATTTTTTCTTAAAATAGTGGTTGATATTTGCTTTGTGTGCGCGTCAGAAAAGAGGAAAATTTGTGCTAAAATACGAAAATAAGTAGAAACCTGTTTGCATTTTAAGGAATCGCAAAGATCAACTGTGAAAACAAGAATAAAAAAATTTTTGAATATTCACGAAAATCGAGCAATTTTTAAGTTTTTACATACCACAAATGATTATGAACAAATTTTCCGTTTCGGGTTTAATGACCTTGAAGTCTATAGCACTTGTATGGATATTTCTGGTAATTTCCATAACCATAAGTGAAGGCAAACGCACTGTCGGTAGCGGACGTCGTAAAAGTTCAAGCAGTGGATATAGTACTCGCCGTCAACCTAGTACAAGTGTCACCAAGCCTAGCTATAGTGATAATTCTCATGCTGATCAAGCTAAATTAAGTTATCCTAATTATAATTCTCAACCTAACCGTCCGGCAAGTGCTCCAAGCCAGAATTCTCCTCCCATTGGATGGAATGTACCAAATCAACAAGGACATGCTGGACCTCCACCCGCATATTCGTCTAGTAATGTAGCTGGAGGAGCTAAGACAAATATTTACGAGCAACCCCCGATTTATCAAAAACAAAACAATGCTCCACCTCCGCCTAATTATAGCCAGGCTACAGGTACCCATTTAGGGCCGGGTGCTACTTATTACTCGCAAGGCAATGTGCCACACGGCGCTAGTTATTATCCAGTTAATCCTCATATACCGAGCGGTGGATATTCTGCTGGCAGCAATTCCTATTATCCACATGGAATGCCAGCTGGTGGCAATTACTATGGCGGTGTGCCTGCCGGAGCTACCCTCTTACAACCCGGTGCTCCATTGCCAGCTGGAGCCACTTATTATGCTACGTCACCTCAACAAAGTTCATCGGGACCGGGTTTCGGTACGATTTTTTAATTCAAATTATTAAGAACTTCAAAATTAAAATTTTTTTATTTTTTTGTAGGTACTGGGTTAGTAGCCGGTGCTTTAGGTGGCGCTCTTTTGGGTCATGCTCTTACGCCTACCCAAACCCGTGTGGAACATGCTCCTGCTCCAAGTGACGGTAATGCAGGTGGAGATCGTATCATAATAATCAATAACGGGCAACCAGTAAATGCAACCGATGTTAATGGTGCAACAGTCGTAAATGCAGCTGGTCAACCGGCTGCAACAGTACCCCAAGCTAATGCAGAAAATCCAGCTCCTTTGGCACCAGAGCAAAACATGACAGCTGCACCGGCTGAGCAACCAGCTCCTGGTGGCATTATATGTGTGCCGATGCGAATCAATGAAACCGATCCCAATGATTCTACGAAAATGGTAGAAGTTGAAAAAATTGCTTGCTATCCAGCCCCCCCGCCGCAGCCTCAATCAGCACCAGTAGACGGTAGCGTCGTCAATCCTGCAATGCCACCGGTTGAGGGATCTGCCCCATTGGCCCCTTTGCAGCAATCACCTACTCAGGCTACACTAATTGCCGAACAATCAAATATGCAGACCGCTTCCAAGGGCGGCACTTTCCAACAAAACTTATTAAGCTTAGTTGCGACCTCATTATTAAGCTATGCAGTTGCTTATATCATTAATTAAACATTGTATAAAAGCGAATATGCTATGGTGGATGTCAGAAAATTTATTATTTGAAAACTTTATTAAGCACCTTATAAGTAGAATTAGGACCATATACAGAAATTAAAATACCTCTAAATGAAAAATTAACCTCGAATATTATCGAAAGCTTTACATGTATTTCTAATATTATTTTAAAAATTTAATAATTTGTGACTTGCTTCTTCTTTAAGTTATAATTTTATATATATATATTTTTTTTATTTTATATATATATACTTTACATTTTTTTCCCAGTTTTATGCAAACATTCCTTTTTATTATATTCTTGTGATGTTTCTAGTCCTTTTTTAAATTTAGTTTTCAAAATTTTTATTTTATCATAAACTAGAAAACAAAAGAAAAGGGAATTTTAAATTGTTATTTATCTTAAATCAATATTACAATCAATGTGTATTTGTTATTTTATATATATACATATATCAAGATACTTTTTACCCTATATATATATATATATATATATATATATATACATATATACAAAAGAAAAGGGAATTTTGAATTGTTATTTATCTTAAATCAATATTAAAATCAATGTGTATTTGTTATTTTATATATATACATATATCAAGATACTTTTTACCCTATATAAATAGATATATATATATATATATGTGTATATGTTTGCATACGTACATGCGTGCAAAAAAGGATCTATATATTTTTGATATATTATTATCGGCACCTCTAACTGTTAATTTTTCAAATCATTAATAATTTACTCTCACTTATTATTGTCTCTTACACTGCAAATGATGTTTTATTGAGCTATGAAAGCTGGGAGAAATGCAGAGGGAGTAATTGAAAAATAAAATAAGTATTACACATCTACTAAACCTAATTATGAAAAAGGTCAATGAACGAGCAAAATTTCCAAGCAAATTTGTCCTCGATTAGGAAGCAATGACTTGTCCGAGGAAGGTGCATGTTGGGAAGACGAAAGTTATGCTATAGAATCCACCTGCGAGCGCAGCACTGGATAGTATGTATTTTGATTTTTAAACGCTAAGAAATGTACAATAAGTAACAAAGTATTAAAAAGAGGAAATCATGATCATATATAATAATCATCATCATATATAATAATATATAGAGTAAGAGTGTATAAATCTATTGTCTTCGTTCGAGTCGACCGTCGAATTGTTGCAAACGAAAGAAGAAACCTCTGTAATATCTGTAATATAGGGTATCTTGTTGTCTTCTCCTTGTGGAATTAGACTCTTCATCCTTCTGTTTTTCGTCGGCTCACAGGCAAAATTCATTAAACACATAGGAATTTATAACCGCTTAATGAATTTCACTTGATTACCGATGCTATATTCTTTAGATTCACCTATCATAATTATGAATTATTTGATCTTACGTTGGTTTTAATTGAAGAAATTCCTCCAATCCACCCAAGAATAAATTTGAAGTCAGTTAACTGTTTTCGATATCAAGTTAAATTGTACGTAACTTCCAATATTGAGTTAACGGCTTTTGATATCGAATAACTTGTAACGTCATTTGCTAACGAATATCTTCTTTTCAATATCGAATCGAGTCACATTTCAGGCTTTTTCGTCGGCAAAAGACTGCCCTATACAGTATAAGATAATCAAAGGGAAGCTAAAGTAAACTATTGTTGCGAGAAGCACACACACGATACGATCAACGAACATAAAAAGAAGATTATCTTTATCTTTAGACAGATTTAGATATGTTAAATACTGAATATTATATATGTATATGCAACAGCTGATGTCACCTTTGATATTTCCAATTAGATTCAGGAGGAATAATGAAACGCAAGCGAAATATCGCCAGACACATAATCAAGTCGAAAATGGTATCGAAAACCGATATTTGGTCAAGATAAATTCAATTTTTTCTTTCTATAAAGTCATCAGTTCCCATTTCATGTTATAATTCTTTCTAGAAACGTTTGCTTTGTTATTTTCCAAGCTTTAAGCCGTAGTTAAAGCCTATAGTCACTTAAAAATCCCTAAATTGGCCTTTCTAGTGTTTACCTGTAACCGAGCATTTTTTCTTATTTATCATATTAATATTTTAGAATTTTTTAGACTGGCGTTGAACGTAACAAACATTCAAAATTATTTATTTACTTAATTTTTTTTCTTTTCTTATTGATATGACGTGAAAATGAAACATGGCTTATATGTGCAGATTCATAAAAAATTACAATACTTTAGTGGTTATATTGGATCAGAATAATTAATATGAGTTAAGATTTAAGCCAAACAATTAATAGCGTTGCAGGTTTAGGTTGTTTGATAGAAACTTTACATAAAAAGCAAAAAAATAGTGAAAATAACTAACAATGTTGTAAAAAAAGAGTAAGAAAGTAGTACTTTTTAAATATGAATAATTGATGTGATACATGTATTTGCATTTATAATAAAACGAGTTAACTCGTTGAGGTGAGTTTAATTGCGAGCAGTGAATAGATCGTTTAAATTATTATATCTATTAAAGATCTCAAAAGACTTTCTGATATTTTCAAATCTACAACAGTTAACAGTTAAAAGCTCACGACGATTCTTTTGTATTGCGCATTTCGCTTATATCATTTGGCGAGCAAACAATCATTTTCATGTAGATTTTATGAGAAGAGACACCACTTATGAGCCGGTCGAGCAGATTAATCTTGCAGGTTTTGAAAACTGGCTGAGATAGTGGTTCAAAGTGAAAGAACGAGTGTACCAAATTTTACGCAAGATTTGTTGAATTTGCGGAGTTTTGTGCGATTAAGTGTTGGCAGCCAAAAAAAAGAGATCCATTTGACAGCTGAGAATCTAGCGTGAGTAGAAATGGAACGTTTTCGACTGGAACGTTCGACATTTGGTTTCAGCAAGATATATTGTTATCCTACATATCCTATATGCATGCCTTCCCTGCTCTGGTCCTGTGCTCTCACGTTTCACTTATCACAATTTCGATAAAAGAGCAAACAAAGCCGTGTAGGCAATTTGTTCGATGTGCTATTCCACACTTAACCTTATACATTATCCTATATACATTACGATTCAATAAAATTAGTACAATTAAAAAATACAACTCTGGTTTCTATTTGATGTAAATTTCGCAAAAATGTTGGGCTACCCTATAGAAAGGGCGACTTTCTTCGTGAACTTCATTTACTCTATGTTGATCATTCAGCCATTGGAAAATCTTATTTTTGATAATGCGATATGCTTCTTTGAGAGCATATTTGATGGGTATAATGTCCGGTTTTCTGTTTAAATTGAAACAGCAATGATTGGGCACTCAAACCAAATGAATACTCTCTATGAAATAGTGGTTATGCGTTTGATATATCTTCAAAAATTATTCGTTTTCGTCTGTCAGACGTAAGGCCTTTTATCATGCTGCGGTAGGATAAAATTGGTATTGCAAGTTCTTATAACTAGATTAGTGCCTACGAGCTTTAGAACTTTTGAGGGGAATCTTTTTACATACAACGCACAACAGGCAGACATGGCTAGATCAGTTTAAAATTCGACGCTGATCAAGAGTATGTATACTTTACTGGGCTTGCAAGCATTATAACAAAATGAGTGTACCATTATTCTTCGGTACAGATCCAATAAAAATTGACAACATAAGCGATATGTTTGTTTGCCAAACTTCGTGATGGCATATATATTACTGTTTTTGTTGTCTTTTTTCCTTTTGTTTTTTTGGCTTTCGACTAAGAAGAAATTTTTTCCTTATCAGGAATGCGCATACGTTTGTGAATTTTAATTTATATAGAAATAGATTGAGCTAATAATTATTTATTCACAATACTCTCTTTTAATGTTCGGGATAATATATATATATATAAAATTATTTCAAATATATTGTTAGAATTGTCTATTTTTCTGAAAGAACGTAATATTCACATTCCAGAATGATTAATAAAATCAAATATAATTGCTGAAATGTGCTATATATTCAATTACTGAAGAGGTAGATTCTATAACGTTGCCATGAGCTGAATATATTTTTTTCTAAAATACTATATAAATATTTTTTTCCCTTTTTTGAACTGTTTTTCTATTAATATCGTTTCAAATTTTCCGCCTTTCAATCGCAAATGCAATTTTATAATGTTAATCCGAAAATGTTCTTCAAATTACAGCTGATTATTATTATGGTATTGCGCAGCCAAATGAATTATTTACATATTGAAAATGAACCTACACGCAACTAAATGGTTGTTTATAGATTGAGTATAAACCGAGACGCAACTAAATGGTTGTTTATAAATTGAGAATAAACCGGGGCGCAACTAAATTGTTGTGTTTGTAAATTGAGAATAAACCGGGGCGCAACTAAATAGTTGCGTATAAATTGAAAATAGAATAGAAAGTGCGATAATTTTTATTTTAATAACAAAAACCCCGTGCTTCAAACATGTATGTCATGTATGTCAAGCGACCATACTGCATGTACATACTTGGTTTGACTTACTATAAAATCTCATGCCATAAAATCCCTTTACAAGACTTGTCGACAGACAAACTGATTTAAGATAATAAATTTTTTTGTTATTAAAATTCATTTTAATTAGATTCATACGCATAGCCATTATAAAGTTAATTACAAATAGTTAGCTTTGCTTAATAAAGAAGAAGATCATGCTATAAATATTCATATGAAGTGCACATGAGAGATTAATCGTTTTAAGAAAAACTATTTTATATTGCATGAAATATTTTTCATTAAATTTGTCTCAATTTAATTAGGCTAATGATTATTATAAAAGTAACTAAATATCTAAATAGCCTTTTAGTATGAAAAGCAAGATTAAATTGCAAAGAAATAGTTTTTAATTCATAAAACGACGACAATAAACAAATTTATGCTCTTTGATTATTATTATTCTCAGTGCTTTGGTATGTAACATAATTGCAAAACAAAAAAAAAAAAAAAAAAACAAAAAAACCAACAACAATAACGGTTAAGTAAATGTTTATAACTATAAAATGAGTAACGATAAATACATAAAGGCACCTGAAATCGTTCCTATTACACCCTATAAAGTCAAGCGTTACATGTAATGTAATGTTTATTAGAAGTAATATGGGATTGACTCTTCATTTCCCTTGTTCGTACTGAATTAAACACCTATGTTTATTGTTTGATTGACAAACAAATGCTTAATGATAAACACAAAAATTACTTTCCAAAAAATATATATACATATTAATAAAAATAAAGGAAAAAAACTAATCTTAAACGATAAGATATTGAAATACAATCGAATTGTAAGCAGAGAGAGGGGAAAAAAAAAACAACTGAAAATATTTAATAAGCATTTTATTAAAAACTTGTTAAAGAAAACCTCAGAATTCTTTGGTTTTTTTTTTTTTCTTGTTTCGTTTTGTATTTATATTAAGATACCTGTTGGTCATGCTTCGATAATTAACTATGAAATCCGACTGCTCTGGCTCAGATGAATGAGAAAATATAAAAAGAAGGAAAAAGAGAAAAAAAAAAAAACATATATGTAATAATAATAATAATAATAGAAATAAAATAAACAGTGAAAAGATAAAATTACCACAAATTGACCACAAAGTTATTAAAATTATACATAAAAATCTGGGTATGTGTGTGCGCGGTTTATTTTTTTTTTGCATTCAATGCTAACTAGCGAGACAGAAAGTAAACCGAACCTAAATACTGAACACTTTAAAGGCTTTAGTTGAAGTCCAGAGTATAACAACAGAAGAAACAGCAACAGCACAACAGAGCACAACAGAGCACAATAGAGCAATAGCAGCAGCAGCAGCAGCAGCAGCAGCAGCAGCATCAATAACAAGATTAAGTTTTATAGAAATGGCACAACAGCCTCCTGGCGTACTTATCGCTAAAGCGAATTTAACATCCGCGAATGAAAGACGCGTCGCCACCGCCACCGGCACAGCCACGAAAAGCATAATGCATTGTTTACGCGATCGCACACCGAGCTATAAACGTTCAAATAGTCAGATAAATATAGCACGTGACGGTGGACAAAAATTTGGACAATTATCGAAAGAGTCTCATCGTACCGTGCAACCGTGTAAATTGACTTTATTGAAAAGTTGCAGCAATCGTGATTTAACTCAGTTAAAGGAATTAAAAACTACGCGAACATCTCCATTGACAACAATAAACAACAATAATAAAATGACTGCAACAGCAACGGTATTATTGTCGCCATCATCATCATCATCGTCATCATCATCAACATCAACCTCGATGTCATCAGCCATACATTCTACCACGATGAATGGCCATTGTTCGGCTATGAATTGCCAGCAACGTATATCGAGTCTGGAGCAAAGAATCACAAGATTGGAAACACAATTCAACGGTCAATGTTTATTAAATAAAACAATGGCCAATCAGTTAGATGAATTGAATAAACGTTACGCTGAATTAAACGATCAGAATTTGCTTAATAAACGTAAAAAATCGGCAAGTTTAAGGCATAATAGCAGCAAAAAGGAAACGGATCGATCGATTCACGGAACCGTGCAACCTTCGAAATTTGTTGCTTGGATGAAACTATCGAATTTCTGGAAACAGCGACCCAGCATACAAACGCTTAAAGAACAAAATATTTATAACGGTGAGTAGATGAAAGTGCGATGTACACGTGAAATATAAAATTAATCGCGTAACATAAAATGAATCTTCGATGCTCGGCATTTTAAATGCGAAATCCAGTGATTTTTGAGATCCAATTTTCTTCTTTCTTTTTCAATTCATAATATTTTACAGCAAATTTGAAAAACTTATTTATTAATTTTTTTTTTCGCGCAATTTATGTGAACTTTTCGTTGTGATGCTTGATAAAGCTTGCTTGCATTCAATATTTAGATCGGTGGTATCTTTTCAAGTGGCAATGTAAAGTATCGGTATTGGATATCGGAATTTTACTCACTTTGCTTTTCTTTTTTTTTTTTTGTAGAAGATTACATCAGTATGATAGGTTAGATATTGTTAAACATAAAGAACAGAGAAAAAGGAAAAAGAAAATGCCATATAATATAACAGATGTTGATGCCTAACAATAATCAAAATTATCGGAGATAGTTTAGTTTACAAAATAATTGTGAACACAAGCGCTAAAAATAAATTTTTGTTATAATTTTTTTTAAAAATTAAAAAGAGAAAAAACTTTATAGTCGGGTAAGGCCGACCGTCAAACACCCTACACTGCATTCTCTATTATGAGTCAATTTTCTTTACAAAATATTAAAATTTCGAGTTTTTTCTGCTCTGCAAAAGATTAATTTTCGTCAAAATTCTTTTTATGATAGGATCTAAAAGATAAACCAAAATGGCCCAACTGTGGTACAGTTCATTTTTGTTTTTTTTTTTGTTAAATTGCTTTGTAAAATTAAACGGTTTTGTCGTACGAACTTCAGTTTTCGATATATGAGAGGGGGTTCAAAAATTGCCCCAGCCAGTCCAATATTTTCATGACAATTTTAAGTGCCGTAATACTACTACTTGAATACCTTTGCCGAGAAATTTTGAAAATTGCAAATTTTTTTCCATATAACGGCGTATCAGAATAAAGCGTTTTATGGGGAGTAGTCGAAAAAGTGAATCGACCCAAACCATTTTCAAACACATCACTAAATTTCATCAAAATATCACCAAAAATTGTGACCTATAGCTGGAACATAAATTTAGAGGGATAGACACCAGACGAATAGGTGGACAGACAGGCTTAGAAAACGATTCTGAAACGATTAATATAATAAGAGTTGGGCCTATTTTAAGCCCTTCTGTGCGTGTTATATACGTCCGCACTAATGTAATATGCCCACCACAAGTGGTGTAGGGTATAAAAATATGTATTTTAGAATTCCCCTAATGAGAACTATTAACTCATACGTTCTCTCTAACAAATCTTTGTTAATCTCTTACTTGTTTTCAATTCACATGAGAAATCCTTTACTAAACGAACCATCTTACAAGCTTTTTAGTAGTAGATGTATGCGTGTGTGTATGTTTTTAAGGAAGGTCAAAGCTGGTAAAGCTTAAGTCAGTATGGCACTTGCACCCTCTAGGTACCACCAAAATTTCACGTAGGGAAAACCGTCTGAGCCGTAGGCGATCTCGTTTGTCCTTTGTGTACTACGCGCGCGCTCTACTACGTTCCGCTCTTCTCCGCTCGATCAATATGGCTGCGCTGGGCCTCTTTAATACTGTTCCACACAGAAAGCGTGTCATGTCATATTTGCGATAAGAATCTCTCCTATTTGAAGCGTGGACATTCGAGCAAAACGTGCTTCGCCGTTTCTTCTATGTCAGGAGACCGAGGGCAAAAAGGATCATTATCGTGGGCGAATCTTTGTAAAGATTGCCGAAAACAGCCATCAGCGCTAAACATTTGCGTAAGAAAGTAGTCAGCGCTACCCTGCGGCGTTGTGACCCATTTGTTGACATCATATTTGAGCACAGCGGGCCTGTGGTAGACTCGTCCCATCTCCTCTGCCATGTGCACATAATTTCTTCGGTAATACGGTTACGGTTACGGTCAGCGGTGAGCCTCATCCTAAACTGCCTTCTTGCTTGATATAATTTCGTTAATTGCTTAGCCATAGCTTGACCTGCGCAAACTATGACCCTGTGTGCGTGTGTGTGTTTGCAAAGAAATTTTAAAACTTTCTTGAAGAATATTCAAGATTTTTACCAAAAAGAAATATTAGCCTTGTCCTAAGCGACATGATAAGAAATCATAAGTATACTCGCAAGTGAAGAAACTTGTTTCCAAAGAGTTTTCTTGTGACTATTAGTCTGGCATAATAAATTTGATCACAATATCACGAAAGGTATGACAAGCGATCAGTCACAATCGGTAGTAACGTCAAAATATTATTTGATTTCTTTTCTTTCTGTCACGGTTTGCAAATAGCAAATAGTTAAGAAGAAAAAATAATGTTTCCGTACATCAGACGTGGAGTGAATGCTTCCTATTGGTGGATTGTTCCAAAGGTGGCCGAAGCGACTAAAAAGTATGAGGCTGCGGGATAGTGCGCAATTCCGAGATGATTAAACGGGAACGCTGAAAAAATCTTGCAATTCTCTTAAAGGACTTAATTGATGGACTTTTTTCCTTTGACCTTTTTTTTTGGAATATTTAAGGTATGACTTGCTCTTCACTTGCTTTTTAATCAACTTTCTTGTACTTTCTTCAAAATGGAGTTTTTTTTTTTTGTAACGAATAGGAGACCAATTCTCTTGATCTAAGCTCAAAAAGGTAATTGGACTTTTGAGAACGAGAAGAAGAGCACCTGGTATTTTAATGTGCAACTGTGATCTTTTAAAGAATGAGAAAAATATCGCAATAGGGTATAGCTTTTCTAACTACTGAGTGCATTGACTTAAGAATGCGAAAAAGAGCGAGAAAGAAAGAGAACGAAAGAAAGAAAGAAAGAAAGAAAGAAAGAAAGAAAGAAAGAGAGAGAGAGAGAGAGAGAGAGAGAGAGAGAGAGAGAGAGAGAGACAGAGAGAGAGAGAGAGAGAGAGAGAGAGTTTGAAGGAATTAAAAAGATCTTAGGTTCGAATGGCCTTAAAATGTAAGCATTGTCTTAATTGACCTTGTGTCATTGATTAGTTTTGACTTAACAGTACGAGTATTAAAGATTCATTTGAACTTATCAATCAATCAATATCAAGCCAAGGAATTAAGAGAAGGAATAATAATCAATAGAATAAAGATCAACTTTTCGTGCTCGGATTTGTTTCAGATGAACCTTGCTTTGATACGGAAATTGAAATGGTTCTCAAAGATGATGTACATAAGACGGTACCAAAAATTGTTATAGATTGTTGCCAATTAATTGAAGAGAAATATCGAAAATCTTCGGAGCCCGTTGAAGGCATTTATCGTCAATGCGGTGATTATAATAAAATTCAAGCGTTACGTTTTAGCATCGACGCAAACAATTATGAATCATTACGTCAATCAAATATTGATATACATACATTAACAGGAGTATTAAAATTATTTCTACGTGAAATTAAAAGTCCTCTGATATCGGTGAATGAAGCTAAAACATTTATTGGTAAACCGAATCAATGGTGTAAGTTTTATATTAAAAAAAAAAAAAAAAAATGTCTTACTTATTATTATTATTATTTGTGAATATCTTCAATGTTTCGTCATAAACCATCTATTTGTTTACAGTATTAACTGAATTGCCTGCTAAGTTGGATATATTAAAAAGACTGATACGTTCATTGCCGGAAGTGAATCGTGATACGATGGAATATTTATTTTCACATTATAATAAGTAAGTAAAAAATGGAAAAAAAAGAAAAACAAAAACAAACAATTTACTATATAAGTGAATGAATGATTGAGCCTGAAATGAGATCGCAAAGTGAGTGGAGAGGAGAGGAGAAGGAAGGCATAAGAAAAGTAAAGTAATTTATATGAAAAATGCATACATACCTAAAGATAAGAGCTATTACGAATAGAAGTGTTGATAATGAAAGGGAAATCAATTTGCACATGCGAATGAAATAAAGTTCACGTGTTCAATTCTGAGAGAAGCTCTCTCTCTCTCTATATATATATATATATATATATATGATAGAGGGAAAGAGATAGATAGATAGATAGATAGATAGATATCATTCTCAATGTGCAGATAACGCATGCGATTTATGCCAAAGCATGAACGACGACGACGGGCAGTCCACTGTTTTTGTCTATGCATCTTTGGCATGTTTGAGCAATAGGCTTTACGGATATCTCGAGATAGATCTCACATCATGTAACCCGCTAGCGGTCATGATGATGCGACAAGATTGAAAAAATGCGATGATTTTTTACATGACATACTTGAGTATAAAGTCACACAAAAGTCTCGAACTCCTAATCGCCTACAAGAAGGCAGCAGTAATCCATACGTATTCTTCTCGAAGTAACGTGAAAGCGATTCGCGGATCGTTTTTTACTACTTGGCAATGCGTTGTCACTACGCCCGCGTAAAGACAATGCATATAAATAGATAGTTAAAGAGGGAAAGAGAGTGAACAGACGCAGGAATGGAGAGGGATAGAAACAATAACGTAAAGACGGAATATAGTGAAATGGCATAAGTGTACAGCAGTATGCGGTTTATATATGTCCTTTTTGTGACAGCCCAGCAGTTAATAAATTTCTTTTTTATTTGATTCGCACTAGAAATCGTATAAAAAATGTGCATTTAGTGTTACATAGGGGTAAGCCGTGTTATTTCAAAATCGCGAAAAAAATAAACTCGTGTAAAAAAAGACTGTCGCCCTTAATATATTGTAGATTGCTTATTGATTCTTTAAACTTTGAAAAATAGATATTCGCCGATCTTTTCCACCCCTGAAGCTGCTGCCCTATGAGCTTTGAAGCGTCAAATACCTACATTATATATTCATATTTTTCTTTTCAGATTAACTAAAGTGCCTTTACAGCAAATAAGTGCCGATTCCTTGTCGCTTTCTGTAACACCATCCATTTTTCATACGGTACAACAAGACGCCCACATACAAGATATACATCTTTTACTCAAAGAGAGTGAAATTTTAGCAGATTGCGTTAAAATAATGATTGAATATCACAGCAAAATATTCGAGTAAGTAAAAGAGAAAAAAATAAAAAAAAAAACCAAAAAAAGAAATTTTATTTTACATAAAAGTAATTTTAGGAAATTTTTGAAAAAAAAAACACTTTTTTTTTTTCAGAGAAAGCAAATAATTTTAACATATGTTCTTCCAATCATCCCCCCATCCAACGAACAATTATTAATATAACCCAAAACAAAACCACATATACTTTCTTAGAGTATTCCAGTGCCAGTAGTCAGTTTAGCCAGCCCAGTCAGTTACATTAATCATCTTAAAGAATGGCAGTGAACGTATATTCGACGAATGTAACAACTGAAAATTTATCCAGACATGATATGCTTGCTTGGGTTAATGATTGTTTGCAAGCGCAATTTGCTAAAATCGAACAGCTCTGCACAGGAGCTGCTTATTGTCACGATATTGTGGTGAGCATTCAGATAAATTAATAGAGATTATGCAAATCCAGTGCGAGGAATTCTTTCAATGTTACCATATCGCTTGTTTGGAAGAAATGTTATTATTTCTAGACAATAAATTGTGGACTGTTGTAGATTCATTTGAAAATATATTGCAATTGACGGAATTTCGTTCGGTCCGTTATACCTTGCGGATGCATAAATCGCCGCCAGTTGTTCTGTTAATTAATTCACCAACAGTGGAAATATGCTGTGCACTTCCTCTTATCAAAATTTTCTTCTCCATTATGTTGTTCAGAGCACAGATGCTTAATCGCTTGCGAAGATGAAAAGATCCGAAATGCCTGTACGTCCGCAACATCTTCAGCTCCCTTCCGCGATTAATTTAGATTTGCATCCGGACCGCACAATATCAGAGTTTATGGATGGAAAGATAGCAAACAATGAAAATTCCGATCCTTTCCTTCTTTCCTCCTTTTTTTATTTTGATTTATTTTTCTTCTTTTTTTTTCATATAAAATACGTTTTTCAAAAGAATATAATCGTAGCAAATATATTTGGAGTACGTGGAGGCAGTGTTGTCATCTGTCCTGACCTTTTCTCTTCACCGCAACTTGCATTCCGATTGATTTGTTCATTAATCAAAGCGCAACTGCCTTAAATGCTCGCCCAATACATCCATGTTGTTGTTGTTGTTGTTGTTATAAAAAACGACCGAAAGAAAAATATATCAAACAGCGAAATTGTTAGACAGGAAAAATTCCGTACAATACATTCTTACGAGTGTGAAGTTATCATTTCACAGAAACTAATACAGCAACAACAACAACAACAAAAACTCAACTAATGCCTTCTGTCAAACCGCACTCTGGCATTGAACTTGACGTCGTTGTTAATGATGATGACGATAATGATAATAACGATGATATTATTAGAAATGAACAATCGACATGTGTGCTCCTCTCTATTTCCATAAATATCCTATAAATCTAAGCCGATAGCCTTAGATGCTAATGCTTTTAAGTGTTTATTCTTAGAATTTATTTTCTGGCGAAATTAATAATAATAATAATAATAATCCTATAAATCAATTATTTTTAATTCTTACAGCAACACATCGGATAGGAAGCAACAAAGAAATCGTTATAGTGTTAGAAATTTACGGAAAACATTCTCACATCCCGATTTAATATTTCAAAATTTATTTTAATTAAACAATTTATATAGAATTGAATAACAAGAATAATGTTTTTTTTTTTATTATTTAATTTAATTTAATAGATTTACTTAATAGTTAAACATTTTATTAATAAAATAATAATTATTGATTATAGTAAAATTTTTCTTCTTTTTCTGGAATTCAACAAATCACCAAGAGATGATTCACTATTTTGGGTAAAAAAAAAAAAATAAGTTAAATGAAAGAAAAAATTATAAAATTTTCATCATCTCACAAAAAGTAAATTTTTTTTTTTTAAATAATATCAGTCAGGCAGTCCTACAGGTGTAACACGATGATAATCTCAGAAAGAAGTAACGAAAGGCCAAGAGATAGAGCGCTGGGGATCGTAGTCAACTGGGTATATGCCCGATGCGTAAGTGTTATGCCTTTACCGATTGAGCTACACCACTACAGCTATCGACCATAATACACTCTACTGCATTTGAGTTTTGAACCCGCGAGCATTGACTTACTAATATCGATTGTTGTTAGCTACTCAACTACGCGAAATTACAAAAAATCTTAATTGCTACTCTAAGCCTATACGAGCTAACAATTGCCTTGATATCGAGCCATAACGAAGAATAGTTTAGGGTGCTATAAGTATGATTTTGGTTTCAATTCAATTTAATTTGAAATTATTAGTAATATTGGGCCAATGCGTTATACAGTCTAAAGTTTTATTACCTCATTAAATTAGACCCTCTACAAGCCTGCATCGACATAAGGGATAAATTCATGCATCAATAGAATATAGTTATGAAAATGTTAAATATGAGATGTAGAAGAAGTTTAAAGCTTTGCGGAACACCAACAGAAGAGCTATCAATCATAGCCCAACCCGTTAACAGGTAATAAGTTTAATCGACCTGAAATTATATTCAACATATACCTGCATAAAATTAATATAGCCTTATACCGCATGTGTAGATATAGGGTATAAAAATGAAAACAAACATTCAACTCATGCTTCGGTCGATCTCTAAAATTTCACCTACACGGGCATCTGTTTACTTTTTTATATGGGCCTTCTGCTTCTCTTTTCATTTTTTGTAACGGATATTTTCATCGTGTTCATCAAGCAAGCAATCGATGATACATACAGTGCTGCATTATCGACCATTGTAAGCAGTAAGAGAAGTAAATTTATCCATTTTAAGGTAATTACTCTTCCTCCTATTTTTTTTTTTTTTTTTGTTAATTAATCTTCCTTCTCTTTATATGATGAAAACACGAATTCTTGCTTGATTTTAATTGAAATGACGGATATTACCTTATAAGGCTAAAAATAACTCTTATCCACATTCGTGTAAGAAATCGTTCCTATTAATAATAACTTTTTTAGGAAGAAATGGAAACAATCTGCGGTATGAAATCGTTAAAATTTATTTATTTTGTTTTTTTTAGTTTATTCAAACTTGAGTGCGTGCAATATTATAAAAATGATATGGCAACTCTTTGTGAAGAACACTCATCTTTTACATGGTTTTTATAAACCTGAAAACTTGGAAATATTTTTAGAAATATTTTCTAAGGTGAAAAATATGTTTATATATTTACATACACTAATATAAAGTTAGTATTAAAATTTGACTAAAAAAGTTAATGAAAAATTATATCATAATTAAATTAACTCTAGTATATTTCTTGAAGAACAAAAAGTTAATGAAAAGCCAAGTGCTTAAATAAGTGGATCCAAGGAAGAAAATAGTTCGAATAAATATTATATGAAAAGAAACAATTTTTTAAAATAATAAATCATAAATGATGATTTCAATTAATATGCATTTCGAGTTAAGCATGAATGTATAAATAATTTCAGCGTATCGGACGTGTGTGTAAATATTGTTATCGCATTCCGCTGAGATATATTGTTTTTTTTTTTTTTTTTAAGCTGATTATAAAAGTAATAAGATAAAGAGCATTTTTTTGGCAAAGAATGTTAAAATTGCCCACTTTGGTAGCTCGCTTACAAGCTTCTCCTGCTGTTGCACAGCGCTCATTACCCATCACTCTAAGTGCAATACAAAAATTCTCCCAGTCACAGACAACGCTAAAGATATACAATATTAATAATCATAACGAATTCGATCAGAAGGTATTTACAAGAGAAAAAAAAAAACAAAAAAGCCTTTTACATAATATTTCTTTCTTTATATAAGTTGTGTCTTTGATTTTTTCTAGATCATCAATAGCAATGTACCCGTTATTGTTAACTTTCATGCCGATTGGTGTGCACCATGCAAAACTCTTACCCCTATGCTAACCACTCGATTAGAGAATGCCGATGATATTGATTTGGCCGTAATCGATGTCGACAAGAATATCGATTTGGTAGAAACATTTGATGTTCGGGCCGTACCGGCTATATTGGTTTTTCGAAATGGCATTGTAACTGACAAACTTGTTGGCTTAATGGATGACGGAAATATAGAGGAATTTATTGAAAAAATTCGAACGAAAGCACGCCTTCAAAAGGAAACCGAACGTGAAGAAGCGACGAAGAAATCGAAATGATAATAACACCAATGCTGTAATGTTTATTTATCTTGTGAAATAAATATGTATTTTAATATTTTTTATATGAGTACGTAGATAGCCCTGTGAAAATCAATTTACCGAAGTAAAAAGTTTATTCATCTTTGAATTATTTCTTCGGTATATATCACATCTAAAGAACGGGATTGATTGATTGCGGTATCACATCTTCCATCGGCTTCTTGTAGGTCTAGAGAAGAAAATGTTTATTTACAAATTATCAAAATTCTGTTGTTTACCCACACATGATGATGATTATATGTTAGTCTCCGACTTTGGGTACATCAGTATTTGGAAGTAAATAACCAAAATTTAATTTCTTCAATAAGTAGTTACCTGAAAACTCGCGAGTCTATGAAGAGGCTCTTGAAGATATTTTAGAGTAAGTATAACTAGCGGCCGCATATTTTCTTGGAAGGCATATTAAAAAATTGTGGGAAGTATAATAATATTAGCATTCCATTTTTGTACATCGGAGATAGCCAATACCATGCACAGACTCTTAGTGAACATGATATTTTGAGTTCACATGTATCGATACGGGCTTGAAATTAAGACAGATTTTAAATGCGGATATGACGCCTCATGCTATGTCATTGGAATTCTCAAAATCGAGAACTAATATGTTAGGATGTATTTTTTTATTGAATCCAAGTGTGTCTTGCGTATTTATTAGCCCTTTATTATTAATACCCTGAGCTGGCAGAGATATCATTTACCTACTAGCATTTTTCTTTCCTTGTTTTTGTAGCAATGGTTTAATCCAAATCTGATATTTCGAGATTTTTTTTTTTTTGAATAATTACCCTGATTAATATATATATATATTAATATATATATATATGTGTGTGTATACATCTATATAGTTTTTAATATATCTTTCTCTAATATATATTTTAACAGGAATTTCTTAAAGCTATTAAAAATGTTCTTTGATTTTTCACTACGCGTTTAAAAACAATTGGAGAAACAATGATAAAAAGAAAAAAAAAACAAATATTTTTACATATTACAAAATTACCAGAATTGAAATTCAACACAAAAACAACAACAATATCTATATAATTTGAAGACTTTTTTCTATTTACTGAACGTTAGCCAGTGTCACGTGTTGTAAGTTTTGTATTTTATTTAGAAGAATTCAAGATGATTAGCGGGCCAATTGTATTATTAAAGCGGCGCACATTTCAAAGAATTCCATGGTATGATGTCCCGTTGGTTGAGTAGGCATTATACCGGTATTACTTAGAGCGGGTGGAGTTAAACTCTCTAAAATGACGTCATCACCTTGCTCGACCTCATCGTTTGTTAAAGATTTAAAATCCAACAAATAACTCTTAGCATCGACTTGATAGAGTTGAAGAGACATTTTAGAATATTTGCCATTCTTTGGATTATGACGACGTACACGGACATGATATGGATTTATTATTTTCCATTCATAATCTAGGGCCTTCATTGCTCGGTAAACTTCCAACATGATATCATTCGGCTTGCTTTGAGATCGTATACCCAAATGCCATTTGGCACGTTTGATAGGAGTGCCACGAGCCGCTTTTTCTGGAAAAGCAGCACCACCTGACGTTTGAACTGACATGGCCAATTGGCGTTCCCTTAAAGGAGCGATGCGCTCTGGATGAGGTTTTAAAGAACCGATTAAAGAAGTACGCCCTGGGGTCGATGTACCCGAACTGGAGCCGCCTGCGCTTATATCTTGACCAAGATCATTAGGCGAATGGGCGACGGGTGGCGGCGAACCGGCAACGAAGAAATTATTTATTTCCGTTTTAGCAGCCTCATCAGCGAAACGTTTATTATCTATTATCAAATGATAAGCAATAGCTAATTGATCATGAGGATCTCCGCTTAGTAAGGCATTGTGCACTTCTTGCTCTTTAACACCAAACTTTTGACATACTTCTGCCACGGCATACGTATCAATGACGTTAGAATCCTGTTCTATAGAAGATGGAAATAGATACGAAGGCAAATCTTTTTGAAACCATTCGTGCTTTTTGATCTCTTCTATGGTGGCACGCTTCAAAGGATCCACTTGCAACATTTGGCAAACCAAATTCACTACCTGCTTATTCAGATACTCCGGTATAGGGAAAATGCCAGACTTGATTTTCCTAAACAATGTGGGAACATGTTCATCATCAAAAGGCAATGTACCGCATAATAAAGCATATAAAATCACTCCACAAGACCAAATATCCACTTCAGGGCCAGCGTAAAGTTTACCCGAAATAACTTCCGGAGCGGCATAATTAGGAGAACCGCAAGATGTACGCAAGAATTCACCATCCAACATCATATTAGATAAACCAAAATCAGCTATTTTAACGTGACGATTATGATCCAACAATAAGTTTTCGGGCTTCAGATCGCGATGCACAATCATGTGACGGTGACAATAGTCAACACCCGAAATAATCTGCTGGAAAAATCGACGTGCCTCGTACTCCTGCAATTTTCCATGCTTGACAATATAGTCGAACAGTTCACCACCGCTAACATACTCCATAATCATGAAAATGTCAGTGGGTGTGGAAATCACCTGATATAACTTAATAATATGGGGATGACGGAAGAGTTTCAAGTTCTGTATCTCACGGCGAATTTTGCTAACCACATCCAAACTTTTGATTTTTTGTCGATTTAATATTTTCACGGCCACTTTATGTTTAGTCATCTGATGTTCACCAATCTTTACCTTACCAAAAGTGCCTGTTCCTAACGTGGCACCCAAGAGATAATGACCAATTTTTACTAGAGGCTGAGGACCAGCCGCATTATTAACTACCTCGGCAGCGGCAGAAGCTCGAGATTGAGGCATGATGGTCGTATGCAGTTATTGAATCCTTTCCGTTTTGTGTAAAAAAGGTTTCCAATGATTTATTTTAATTATATGCTCTGTTTTCCGCTTGTCAACGACCTCTAATTTTCAGAAACTTGAGAACTACGAAACTCTGAGGATATTATTTAATTTTTAAGCTCTGCAAAGGAGCTGAGGTTAGCGTATAATTTCTATCAACACACATCTAAGCTCTTTATGATATTAAAAAAATTATTTCAATTCTTTCTTTTATAAAGTTTTAACTAAAACGCAATTTTCCAATGACGGTTCAAAATCACACTTGCAAAGATATTTTTTCCATCTGAATGACAACTGAAAATTTTCATAGAATTTTATCTGACAGCTGAAGGGAAATTTTTCAATTATAACATGAATATGACAGTGTTACCGTTTCAAACCAAAATGCTACTGTCGGTAAAGCAGTAAAAGTAACGTCTTTAAACACGATAAGGTTTGATTGCCTTTTAAAATATGAGAAATAATATTATATTTATTACTTTCAATATGTTCAATATTTATTTTTCACGTTTAAAAAAGCAATCGAGTCTTATTATGTTTTTCTCCTAAGATGAAGCACAATAAGTTAGCACACGACGGGGTGGCTTCCACTTAAGGTAATTTAGCACCAAAGTTTTAAAACGGTTCTCCAGAGAAAAAAATTTTAGTTAAGTGATGAGGAATCTTTGGATTGATTTCTTCAAATTATGATTTTTCTTCCTTAGATTGGAAACTACTATATAAACGGACATTTTAATTATATACGTCAGCTATTAGAGGTTACTTTTTGATAGCTCATGCCCGTTTTAGCTTGACATTTTCACTTAGACTGTTTTTTTTTGATTTTACTTTTTTTGTTCATGTTTCATTCGCCTTGTTTTAATATTTTATGCTGGGTTGCAAAAAAGGTAGTAGGTTTGGATATTTTAGGTAGGTTTTTCATTTTCACGTCGATAAGTTTCATAATTTCTTGTAAAATTACAGTATATTAGAGATGCACGAATTTAATAGTTGACAACATTGAAGTCTTAAGAAACGGTGGTGCAAATTTTATGCCAAGTCTAAAAGAAAGTTGAGTTAAGTGTGTCTTTGGTGCGTCTTTAAGTTCTAAATATTATTTTTTGAATTTTTAATAATATTTTTATTGATGACATATATATAAATATATATATATGCATACGTAAATATATATATATGTATATGCATATACAAATTGTTGTGGAAATTTATTAGCGTTCAAAGAAGCTAAAGTATTATGGCTTTGAAAACAAATAATATAGAAAGCCGTGGACACATACAATGGCACTAGTGCATTAAATCAACAGAGATCAAATGAAACAACAACAACAACCTTAAAAGAGAATAACATAATAACAACGTCATCAATTTATAAAATAGAAAATAAAGAACGAAAAGAAATATAAATAAATAAAATTTGAAAAAATATTTCTTTTGTAATATATCTATATGTATATATATATTTTTTTTTGATCATAAAGAAAATAAAAACGCGACAAAAAATGATACGAAAGGCGGCTAAGATTTTCTCACCGTATGTTTTTATTGCAAAGTGTGGCAGTTTGTTTAAGCCAATGCCTTATAAAGTGTTAAGTGTATTATTCATTGTATTGGGTGTATTAAGCAATAGTTTTGTAACACCCGCAACAACGATGCCGGACGATGAATCTTTCATTTCGCCAAATCCTAAATATCATAGCAACGAGGATATTGGCACATTATTCAAAAGTTTACAAGCTCAATATCCTCATTTAGCGCGCACCTATATAATCGGCAAATCGGTGCAAGATCGGCCCTTGTATGCTTTAGCCTTAACAGGATCAAGCAATAACTTGGAAGAAAGAGAGTTATTAAGACCTTTCGTAAAGTTTACGGCTAATATACATGGCGATGAGACTTTAGGTCGGGAAATAATTTTATATTTAGCTCAATATTTAGTGCTTAATTATGCTAAAGTGCCCGAAGTGCAACAAATACTTAATGCTACGGAAATACATATGTTACCCACCTGTAATCCAGATGGTTTTTACGTAGCTCATGTAAGTTATCTATTTAATCATTTATATTTATTCTTTTTAATTTATTCATAAAAAGAAAAGAAAAGATATTTTTTTCTTTACTATTAAACTTTATATATAAACTCTTAACTCTTTTCTCATTTGTAAAATTTAGAAAGTGGTTTATTGTATCTCTATGATTGAGATAATATCATCGGCTTTGTAAAAAAAGGGAAAGTGAAAATGTAAAAATTTATGACTTTTGGAAATATTAAATCATTTCTTTGCATACATATATTTTTTTTAAAACATATTGAACACAATTTAGCATAAATGAAATGAAGCAAATGAAATCTCCTTGCAATCATTAATCCGTTAAGTTTATTCGGCATGTAATTGTTACCAATTCAAATGAATTATCATTTTTGATGTATTGTGTAAAAACAAAAAACATTTTTACAGATTTTATACTTTACAGAACAGCACTTACTGGGTGTATAAAATTTGTGGGAATGTATGCGACATTCAGAAGGGTATGAGATAGATATGCCTTTTATTATACCGATTTAGGCTTGTCTGACGTCTGTCTGTTTCCTGTGTCCAACCTACAGTTCGCAGTTTTTAAGATATTTTTTCGGCATTTCGTACATTGTTTTGGCTTTTTCGAGAGTACGAATTGTATTAAGCGAAGTATTGTGGGGTATTTATTTTTCTCCTTCAATAACCGATAATAACAGCGAAGCAATTGCACTCGGTTTAGCTTGAAATTTTTAATACCGATTAGCGGTAGATAACTTATTCGATATATACCGACATTCGATCAGAAATCACATTTTTATTCAACATGGCAACATCTCATAGATATCATTGTATTGAGCATTTTTAAAATAGAACGTAATTAGTACAACAACGGTCACAATTATTTTTATCGTGGTACCATGCTGAACATTTGAACCCCATTATATATAATCTATTCAAAATATTGTACCAAAAATATGTAGTTTATTTAAACTATGAAAAAGTCGAATTCGTAACTTAAAGTTATCGAATAATGTCAATTATACTCTGTTGATCAAACCAAGTGAGATGCGGCTAAGATTGATGATTATGATACGAAAGTGAAGGGACGTGAAAACGCTTATACGCGGTAACTTAAAACTGTCCTAATCCCTGCAATTATTTTTACTAACTATGACGCTAGAGAAAGTGCAACGCATTTTCTACGCTCAGCTCAGTTTTATAAATCATTTCGGTTCGTCTGCTTAACAGATTTTAATGACGAATAAATTTTCCTTTCTTTTCCATTTAAATCCAGCTAATGAGAGACAATGTTTTTTTTTTTTTTATTTTATCTGTTGCGTGTACAAATAAATTGACTGCATTTTTTGATAAACGAAGATTTTTATTTCAAAAATACCTTTCACAAGGCTTAGTAAACGAAAAATTGTACCATCACTATCTCCTAAAGGTTAACTTGCCAATGCCTGTCGAAATTTTGTGATTTGGAGATGAAATGGTCATCGATTCATTTTCGTACATCTTCAGCTATTGTAAGCTACCGATCTACTAAACTGCATCAATTCGAACAATTGAGCTTATACCGTACAAACGCCAAGGTCAAAGTTATCTATGCTTGAAATTTCGGAAACAATGAATCTGTTAGGTAAAAGAAAACTTATTAGTACATCTAATAATGATGAATCCAAGATACAAAAATGAAAATATGTTTAAATATAAACATGAATCAGTAACGATTAAAAAAAAAAAGAAAAAAAAAAAAAGATTTATCTCAAGAACCATAATCAAAATACAAATGTCTTCTTTCCCCATTAGCCATTTTTTAGTTTAAATTTACAAACCATACGATATGATATTTAACGTTGTGTATTGTGCCAAAAAGTGTAGCGGGAATTTTGAAAAACATGTTGTTTTGTTTTTTTAACATAATCCAAATAAACAGAGAGACGTACAGACAAACTTAAATCGATATAATAAAGGGTGAGTTGAACTCAAGTCGTTCTGGATGTTGCATACATCCGAATAAACTTATTTTACCCTTGTACAACAACTGGTGTAGGGTATAATAATTTTTAATATAATTTATTTTTATCTACTTATGTGAATGAGCCCGAGAAGTTCTAAGAATTCTTAAAAACGATTTGGGAATAGCGAACACGCTGATCTCAATCTATGAAAAACAAAAAAAAAAGAAGAAATTGTTCCTCGGCTAATATTAGCGACCGGTTAAGTAAAGGAAAGTTAAATTAATCGTAAAATTATGAATTTAGCGAATATTTTCCGTTACATTCTTTCCTTAGCTTCCTTTATAAAGGTTTCGTGTGTTTTCATGAATAAAATAAATAAGTAAATTATATTTGACTGAGGGCGAATCTCACCATGTTCACTAACATGCATTTAATACGCTGCCTGCCCTTTGGCCAGTTCGTTTCACTCTTAATAAAGATCTACGTGCAAGAATTTCCAATATTTCTACTAAATTTCAAGGCGATTTTATCCCTTTTATTAGCAGCATGGTGTCAAGACGGACGGATTTATTTATTATTGGTACGATATTGTCTATCCATTTTCAAGTCATTAACTGGAAAGGTTGCTATATAGACTGTTACACGACGACTTATATCAATATTTTAATAATAGATGATTAATAGATCAATGAAAGGAATAGCCAGGTTTAATACCAACTTGGAAGTTTCCTGCTGGCCATTGACAGTACTGCCAACTCTTGGTTTTTTTGTATTTAATTTTAAAATAACACTGTTCACCAATAAGAATAAAAGTTTTTTTTTTTTTTTATATATGAATTTTTTACTCCAGCAAAAATCCCAAAAAAAAAAAATTCCTTTTAATTCAAAATTTTTTTTTGACAATATCTTGTAGAAACTTATGTATACAGCAGCAAAATACAATTGGAGAATAAGAAGTTAGTGAGTGTAGTATGCTCACATTTATGTTAATGACTTGGTCGATGACGGGAAATACCTGAATTTTATGATTACGTTTCCCTTCATCTTGTTGTTCTTCATCCTGAACAAAGCATATCGCTAGTCAGCGTTTATTTCACGCAGTATCAATTGATTGTGAAGTTGATTTCAATTTTTGTGTGTGTTACATAACGATTGAATTTTCACTGTACCTTCATTTTATTTCTTTTTTTTTCGTTTTTTTTTTTGTGCAATAAAAAGGAATTGTTTTTGCTTTGAATTTCATTATTAATTTTTTTTTTGCATGGTTATGTAGGGAAATATTTAGGGTTTTTTTTTCATTTTACACTATTTTTTATAGT